CCACCCCTCTGGCCTCCTTGCCGACCGCCCCCACGGGAGGCACACTGACCTGTCTCTTCACCTTAGGGCCGTGGCACTTGTTCTTGTGTTCCCTGAACAGCTTTTGAGGGTCGATCGCTTTCCCGTCATTCAGGTCACAGGTGTCACCTCCCCAGAGAAGCCTTCCCTGGATACCTACTTAAAGAGGTTCCTCCCAGTCTCCCTGTGTTGACGTGTTCAGTGTCTGTTACTCCACCGACACTTATTCTCCATGCGAGCAGGGACCACGTGTAGCTCGTTCACATCTGTATTCCCAGGGTTTAGAAGAGTTATTAACCCCTTGTAGAAACTAATCAAATATTTATTGAATCCCCAAATGAAAAAAAAATGTCTGGAATGTAGTTCATTTTTTTTTTTTTTTTGGTCCTATCACTCTCTCACTGAAATTATGACCGTCGCCAAAAGCAGTAACTTCCTCATTACCTTTTCCAAGGGCAGTGACACCCCAATTTACTATTTCTAATCCACAAAGGGCTAGGAAAACCAGTGAATTAACCTTGTTAAACAATGCATGCGAAGGACAGGAGGAGTTAGAAGCAAAACGTAGCGTTCGGGAGGGGGCGCTGTCCCTAATTATTTTCCGATGCCTGAGCCTTGTTGTTGTTGTTGCTCAGAGATGTATGGAAGCTGTCCGGTTGAGGTCTTTATCTGCTCTGTCTCACAGGAAACGCGAGAGAAGGAGAGAAGTTCGATAGCTCTGGGTCATAGTGACTGGTGGTCACAGCACCAGGGACAAGGAGTGGCCTGGAAGGGGGGGAAGGGGACGCCTCCTTGTGGCTGTTGGAGAAGGGGCTTTTCATGTCCCCGTCTTCGTCAACTCTAGGAAGGGGGCTGCGAGGGGGGAGTACGAGCGTCCTCTTGGTTCTCTGAGGCTACCTCTATGACACAGGTTGACTTTTATCTTTATGACAAAGATCACCTTACCTCATCACTAGCCAGGGCTTTAGATAATAGCATTTTAAGCAGAGGGTTACTTTCTCTTTAAGCGTATACATTTCCCTAAAATAGAAGACAATAGCACTCAAGGGATGTTTTTATTGTGGTAACATATCCATAACATAGAATGTGCCATTTTGCAGCATACAGTTGTCTACATAAGAAACATCCAAACCTGCAGAGAATTATTATGAGTTTATCCGAGCCAAACAGATGACAATTGCCAGGAAGCAAAATCTCAATGGATTGAGAAAATGCCCTGGAGAATGGCAGTTTTGCGGCTTATTTTACACGTTAGAATCAGAGGAGGGTGATGTGAAATTCACTGGCGGTAGAGTAGGGGGGCGGGAGAAGGGGAAGCGGGGGGGATCGCTGGGATTGGATAAAGAGTAGAATGAGAGACACCCACTTTACGTTGGTGGGTAACAGGATAGTTAACAATGAACACCTACAGCACACGGACATGGTATTCAGGGAGTAGGCAGCAGCGAGGGCTTCTGGAGTCTGGTGCTCTGGCGGGAAATTGTGCCTGAGGGGTCCACACAGTACAGTGGCATTAAGCACATTCACATCACATCACGCAGCCATCCCCGCCATCTGTCTCTACATTTTCATCGTCCCACGCTGGAACCGGCGCCTGTTCAACGGCAGCTCCCTGTTCTCCCCGCCCCTGGGAACCGCTGTTTTACTTTCTGCCTCAATGGATTTGACTACTCCAGGTAGAGGAAAAGCCCTCCTCTTCTGACACTTCTGGCCCATGCGGGTGGAAAACGGGCCACATACCAAACCTGACAACCTCCGGGGAGGCCTGCGTGGTGGCCTTACAGACTCGGAGACCGAAAGGAACCACGTAGGATGATCTGAAATTAAAGCTCCTAACTAAACGCGAGTCATGGCGCGTAGTCGTTTCCTAGGCCAGTGTCTTCCTGGCAAGGGTGGATCTTTACCTTAAGTGAGACTGTGCACTGGTCTTTTTGCCCCTACAATTACGTACCTGTGGAACATCAGGTAATTTCCTTTCTCCAGACCACCCAGGGCGCAGTCACTGCACCAGAGCGCTGACCCCAGAACCCTCGTGGTTACTGTTATCATGCTGTTAACTCTCCTGTCCCCACCAATGTCAAAGCGTGTGTCTGTTCATCCTACTTTTTATCCAGTCCCAGAGGTTGCTCCCCTCCCCGCTTTGCTTTCTCCTGCCTCCCCCGTCTCTCGCCAGTGAGTTTCATGTAACCCCCTGACATCGTCCCCTTTGATTCTGATTATAAAACAAGTGGTAAAACTGCCATTTTCTAGAACATTTTCTCAATCCATTGCGATTTTGCTTCTTGGCAATAGTCGTCAGTTTGGCTCAGATAAATGCACACAAACTCTCTACAGTTTTGGACATTTCTTACATTGACACCAGCAACTGTGTGTGTGTGTGTGTGTGTGTGTGTGTGTGTGTGTGTCTGTCGGGGCAGGGGCGGTAGGGGGCGGGACATTTCACATCAGGCTACTCTGTGACACCCGCTGGGTATCCTGCCATTTACTTCAGTTTTGACCCCGTCTACCTGGAATAGGCATTAAATTCCATAGGTTCAGGGTTCAGCCCCGCAAGGCTGTTCCTGTCACCCCCCCTTCAGATGCCAATCTCAAGTCCTAGTTGTTACCTGCACGTGTGATCGGCTGACTCTGAACCAGAGGTTCCTACAGTTTCCTCCTTGAGTTAGGTTAATCTGCTAGAGCAGCTCACAGGACTCAGGAAAACATGTCACTTGCTAGACCACTGGTTTGTTACAGAGGGATATAACTCAGGAGCAGGTGGAAGAGGTGCATAGGGCAGGGTGTGGGGAAAGAGCACAGAGCTGCCATGTTCTCTCTGGGCGGGCCCCGCTTCCAGCACCTCCACATGCTCACAACCCAGAAGCCCTCAGACCCCATCCTTTTGGGTTTTTAGGAAGGCTTCGTTTCATAGGTGTGATTGATTAAAATATTGGCCATTGGCGATGGAGTCAGCCTCCGGTCCCTCTGCCCTCCCTGGAGGCCTGGAGGGTAGGGCTGAAAGTTCCAACTCTCTCATCCTATGGCCGGTTCCCCTGGCAACCAGCCCCCATCTAAGGAGCTTTCTAAAAGTCACTGCATTGACATAATCAGGTGTGGTGGGAAAGAGGGCCTATTATAAATAACAAGACCTCCTTGTCACTATGACAGCTCTGAAGCTTTTTCAGGAGCTGGGAACAAGACTAACTATGGTAACAAAAGACGCCCCTGTGGCTCTCCTGCAGGAAGTCACCAGGGCTTCAGGGGCTATAGGCCAGGAACGGTGGGGAAAGACCAAAGACACATTTCTTATTATGAATCACATCACACGTGTTAACCTAGAAATAAAAAGCCTTAAGTGCGCAGCAACAAGCATATATTTGAGGTCCAAAATAATAGCTATTCTCCAAGCCTGGATTCAGGCAGAATCCCAAGTAGTGTTCTGATTAGGAGGTGAAGGCAAGGGGTATTTATGACAAAGGAAAGGGGAATAATTACACGAGGTTACAGAAGGAATTTCTGTATTAATAAGCTAAGGACACATTTCCATAGGTGCAGATAAGATAAGGCAGAGAAGCTAATTATAAAGAATGTCTTTAATTTTCAGTCTGTAACCACAACAAAGAGTTGTTTGGGACACAAGGCTGCTTTAGGCCCAGTCCAAAGGTTATTTCACCTCAGGTTGCAAAAGTTTGAGGACTAAGACTTACAAGGCATTTTCTCTGTTTATTCTTCTTACACACTCATAAAGAAGAATCATACAATATTTGTCCCTTTTGTGTATGAGGAAACAGATCGGAAATATAGAAAATGGAGTCACTTTACCAAGCTGCTAAAATTATTAACACGATGAAGGCTAAGACGTGAGGAAAGACTAGTTTTGTTCTCACTAGCCTGGGAACTCAAAACATTCTTTAACTCCCGGTCATATGTCTATGCCTGGATGTACCTCTGGGCCTCCAGATAACCCTCTGAGCGCCTGCTGGAAGACCCGCATGTCTAGACCGTCTGACGGGCTCGTGCATACCTCCACCTGGCGCCTGTTGTCTGACTGCCTGGCAGCTGACTGGTACCCGTCCTGGACCAGTCCTGAGGCTGAGAATGCAGGACTTGTAATTCTCAAGAATGCACCCTTTTCTGTAAGAACTTTCAGCTTTTCTTTTCTCTTTGTGGAACACTTCCGGACTTCTGCCTAGCTATGTGAATAAGTCTCTATCATGTATTTCTAGCAAAGCCTCCAGGCTCTTCAGGGTTGCCTGACGGTCTTCTTATTTTACTCAGCATGATGCCCTCAAGGTTTATCCATGTAGTAGCTTGTTGGAATTTTATTCTTTTTGAAAGGCTGTATAGTATTCCATTGTAAGCACATACCACATTTTGCTTATCTGTTCTTCTGTCGATAGACATTTGGGTTGGTTCCACCTTTTACCCATGGTGAATAATACTGCTACGAACATTAGGGTACAAATAATCTGATTGAATCCCTGCTTTGAGTTTTTTTGTGTGTATACCCAAGAAACGGAATTACTGGGTCATATGGTCATTGAATGTTTAATTTTTTTGAGAAAAGGATTTAAAGGATTTTAAACCCATTAATCTGTAGGAGAAAAGGGGCATTTATATATTGCCTCTTACATGTCGCGTCGTATGTTAGGTGTCAGAGAAATAGAAGTGCAGGTGCTCTAGAAATGCAGGGGCTTAGAATGAAGGACAAACAGATGTGTAAGTCATTAGCCACTGTATACTGTGTTCAGCACTGTAATAGGATATGTATAGAGTGCTCTGGAATCACATTATAATAATAACGATTTCCAGTGTTTCTGGAAAAAAGATCTTTTGGACGTTGTCCAGGATGGATGCTCTACTGAATTCTCGTTAATCATGGGTAATGCAGTAGAGAAGTTAGGGTGTACACGTTATATTACACATGTTTTTTTAATGGCTAACTCAATCCATCTGCCCTTTCAGTGACCTAAATGTCTCTCTTTTGTTTTCCCTTCCTGTAGTGGTTTTTAATTGCCAACAGATCTTATAAAGTGAGCGCAGCAAGCTCTTTTTTCTTCAGCGGCGTGTTTGTGGGCGTGATCTCCTTCGGTCAGCTTTCAGATCGCTTCGGGAGGAAAAAGGTCTATCTCACAGGTAATCCATTAGTGTGTTCAGGGGCTGAGCTAGGGGACGTGTCTCCCTGAGGTTTGTGGGGAAATAGTAAGGGGACTGTTTCCTTCAGGTTCTCAGGGAATGGCCCTGTGGACACAGAACTGGGTTTTGACGCTGATGAGAGGCCAGACTGCAGCCAGACGCGATTCTGCGTAGCTGGGGAAGGCCCGACCTCTGCTTTGTGAGCTTTTCGGAGATGATGGTGCTACCAGCAACCCCCAGATTCTAACCGATGCCATGTTTCTAAGGAGAACAAAGATTGAGAGGGTCTACTAGATCCATTTCCTTCTGTCTTGTGTTGTTGGTTAATTTCAAATGAACTCTGTAGGACTCAGCATGGTTCTCTTGAGGAGCTGAGTATGAGCCAGGATTTTTTAAATTTCCAGCATTTTCGTGAATAATTGAAAACTGCATGACAGACAGAAATCAGCTTGTAACAAAGAAAGGAAATCTCAGTTTTTGTTTGCAGTTTTTAAAAGGAACCTTTTTAAAAACAAACCGAACCCTCAGAAAATTTAAGTTTACCAAGATTTAAGTTTACAAACAAATGAATAAAATTTATTACTTCCATCAAATGTCATTCTGTCTCTGGATTATTGAATACTGTTACTCTTCTTTCTAGGTTTTGCTCTTGACATCTTATTTGCTATTGCAAATGGGTTTTCTCCCACGTACGAGTTCTTTGCAGTCACTCGCTTCCTGGTGGGCGTGATGAATGGAGGGATGTCACTGGTGGCCTTTGTCCTGCTGAACGAATGTGTGGGCACCGCCTACTGGGCACTCGCAGGTACTGCTTCAGTCCATGCAGATGAGGAGGTGGTGAGCTGCTGCTGAAAGCTGTAGGGAACCAGTGTAACCCTGGAGTCTAAAAATGCACTTGGACTTGAAGTGCTCTGTCTAACTATTAGATTTGCTTTCCCGAGTTTGTCCTGTCTGACCGTGAACGAGTCATTTTATTGGTGTTTCTCTGTAGAAAGTCTCCCCTGGGGCCTGCCTCACAGACAGTGAACTTGCCACATTCTCACAGGCTGCCTCCAGGTTACTGGGAAAGGGTCAATTTCCTCAGAAGGGTGTTCACAGCTTTTACCTTAAATTGAGAAATTGTGCAGACAGGAAATATTAGAAATTTTTTTCTCAGAGCCTTATCATATTTTATAAATCCATGCCTCGTGGATTTTTCTGGCTTTTACTATTCAAGTCAACAGATAGTGCTTATTGGAACATTTCTTTCCTGGTTTGTTTTTTTTTAAGTTGCAAAATTGAGGCCATATTCTGTATTGTTTTTAGCCATTCTATCACCGTCTCAAGAAAGAAAATGCTAAAACTATGTAAATTTTCATATTACTGTATTAGTTACTTTCCCCTTGTATAAATATCTTCCAATGAGAAGAATTGATGTCCACTGTAAAATAAAATCAAGAAATATCTGCAAGGATAAAAAATACACGTAGTCTTCCCCACCTGGAAGCCACCGTGGAGAACACATTGATTGCTGCTCATCCTTAGGGCTTTCCTTTGCCTGTCTGTTCCACAAGACTCCTTCATTAAACAGACCCTGCCACAGACCAGACTCTGCTTTTGTAGGCACGTGGGATAAAAGGGTGGGCACAATGGGTAGGTGAGGGGAGGTTCTTCTTCTCATTGAAACTTCTGTCTTACTCAGGAGAGGCAGAACAGATCTGAGGTGATTTCAGAAAATTGTAGGTATGGCGAAGAAAATTAAACAGCACAATGGACTAGATGGTAATTATAGAGGACAATTATATTAAATAAGATAAATGGAGAAAACCTCAATGTAGGTGTCTGTTCTAAGACATGAATGATGAGAAAGACCTAGGTGTGCGAAATTCTGAGAGAACATTCTAGAAAGATGGAATGGCAAGAACCGAGGTCCTGAGGCAGGAAGGAGCTGCTTTGAGGACCTGCAAAGATGCCCGTGGTGCAGGGTAGAGAGGTAGGGGAAGGTTGAGGTGAGACAAGCTGGAGGTCCTAGATGATTTAGGGCCCATGGTAGGCTACGTGAGCAATTTGTTCTTTCCTTGAAGTGCAGCAGCAGCAGCAGCAAACCAGTGGGTGAATTAAATAGAGGTGCGATAAGACCGTACGTACAGAAAGATCCCTCTGGTAGGTGTGTGAAGAATGGATTGCAGAGGAGCATGGGTGGAAACTGAGGGGCCATTCAGGAGCCTGTTGTGGTTGGCCCCGTGGAACCTGGTGGTGGGAAGCAGAGCCTGACAAGGTGGGGAGTCGGGGAGGAGGAAAGAGGATGCATTTGAGCTGAATTTGGGTGGGAACATGACTTGCTAAAGAATCAGCTGAGCGGGGAAGAGAAAGAGGAATCAAGGAAACTTCATGACTTAATGTTTGAAAACTGGACGGATCGTTGGTGCCATTTACAAAAATGATGTCATCACTATACAGGTTTTTCACCTGCTGAAGTTTGTTTTTTACTAGTGCAAACTGAGCAGGAAGAGCAGACTTGAAATTAATTTAAAACAGACAGAAAAGAAATCTGAAGAATAGGCATAAATATCCAAAGGCCCATAAACAGTTACAAAACCACTTCTGGTAACTCCAGAATGCAAAAGTGCTGATTTGAAATGTTCATTTTGTATTAAATCTTTAAACCAAATAGATGTGGTAGAGCCTTACCACATCTCCATCTCTACATCCCTGTTGTCATTTCCAGACATTCATGTGCAACTTCTTGCTGGCCATTAGCTATGAACGTCTGTTTGCCTTTTAAATGAAGAGGACTGCTTTCTTTCAGCTGAAAGATCTCCATTGTCTTCTGGGACCTCCATCTACGGCAATGTCATGACAGTCCTCAAAGTCATCGAACTAGGACCTTTGAATCATTTCCTCTTGTCCATCATATCCAGTTGACACCAAGTCTTACTCGTTGTGACTGAGAGTTAACACTGTTGAACCTGTGTATTCAGGGAAATCATTTGGTTAACACGACCAAACTGCAGAAGAGCCAGGCTTTGGAGGTGCCTGGAACCAGGAAGTCAGAAGCTTCTCATCTCTGTCCCCACCCTTTATGAGAAGTTTCCTCTGCTCAGCCAGGGACGGACTCAGCAGCTCAGTCCTGGGCAAAAGCTCTGACTGGCCCAGTCGGGGTCACGCCTGCAGCTCGGGGAGCTCTGATTGGCGGTCCCCACTTGACCCCAGAGATGAAGTAAGGGGGGGATCTGCTCTCCGGAAGAGAGAAGAGGTGTACTTGGAATTAGAAAGGAGTGCTAGGTAGACAATAGTTCGTAACAGATACTCACCGCAGGAGGCTTTTAAGTGGCTTTTCTTGTGGGAGGGGTTACTAGACACAAGGGGTTATATACAGACTGCAGGAGGACAAATTCACATTTGTGTAGCATGCCTTATTTCATCTGAAACTAACAACTACCCTTCGAAGCAGGTGTTATTATTTCCATTTTACTGATGGGGGGACTGAGGCTCCGAGATATTTAGTGACTTGCTCAAGGTCACACATCAGCACGTGACAGAACTAGGGCTTGAAAAGGTCTCATCCTGTGGACGCTCTCCTTTGGCCTGCGTTGTTGTCCGCACATGCTGAGTGCTCGGATGTATTCTGAGCAATGACAAAAGGCCCCATTTGTGGAAACCAGGTGCTGTTTCCTGCTGTAATGTAATGAACCTGTAATAGCTATTGATTATCCCAAATTTCCAGGGAAATCACACTTGTCTCCTTATCGGGCCACATGCTCTGATTTGGGGCTCTGAACACTCGGAAAATGATGTCACATCAGCTGTCCCTTTGGTCCTCCCTTTGTCTCACTATGGCACAGCATATACATGCCATTATTTTTAGTTTTAGCTGGACAACCTAAGAACAAGAATAAAAACAAACATTTGTTTTGCAGGATTTTTGTAGGACATTTGTGTAACAGAATCAACAAAGTCTGTTGTTAAGGGGTGCCCACAGAAGCCCACCTTTCCCTGGAAGGGCAGTATGAGAGAGGAATGTACAGAATGCAGTCCCTCCTGTCAGACTGACCAGGGTTCGAGTCCCGGCCCTGCCGCAAGCAGCTCCACGGCAGCGGCACCTAGCCTCTCTGAGCTATGTTCTTGCTCTGTAGCTGGTCGATAACAGTCCCTGCATTCTAGGATAATATATGTAGAAGGCTTAATGCTCGGTAAACAGTAGCTATTATATAAATAGTAGCTATTTCTGGTACTATTAACAATAGTAGCAGATATGGAAAGTGTGACAGAGGTACAGAATTTGCAAGTATATAGGGCAAGCCAGTGGATTCAATACCCATCTCAGCATTTATTTTTAAAAATATAGGCTTCTCTCTTAACAATCCCATGATTGATTTTTTTCCTATCAGTGTGCTGACAAAAATTCATGCTTCATAGAGCTTATTATATTCTACCTGGGAGAGTCAGACAAGGAAAACATAAATATAAAGTGTCATATCTGATGGTGATAAATTAAGTGGGGAAGGGCAATAGGGAGAATTGAGAGGTAGATTGTGATTTAGAATAAGGATTCCAGGGACAACCTCCGTGACAAAATGAAGTCCCACTATTGCAATAATCTCATGACCTGAGACCCTTATTGTCATATAGCAAAAAATATTTCCAGGCCTCAGCCCCGGGATCAGGCAGTTGTCAATACAACATGCAGCACAGAGTGTTTCGGCACAGCCTTCAAATTGACCTTGACCACATGTGATTCATCTGACCTTCCCCTTTCCTGCTCATTTGCTGTCCTTTCTTCTAGTTTATCATCTGACGCTCTGTTTGGGCAGGTTTCTCTTTCCCACTGACATCTGAAAGGAAGGAATTGGCTCTGTGACTTGGGTTGCGGATGGTCTGCAGACGGTGCCTCTCCAGTAACAGGTCTCTTTTCTCCAAATTAGGGTCCATCGGCAGCCTCTTCTTCGCGGTTGGCATCGCCCAGTACGCCCTGTTGGGGTACTTCATCCGCTCCTGGAGGACCCTGGCCGTGCTGGCTAATCTGCAGGGAACGGTGGTCTTCCTCTTATCCTTGTAAGTAGTTCTTTCTCATGGAGTTTAAATTCAATAAGCAGAAGGAATGTCTTAAGAGGGTGCGGGTTGATGAGCGGCATTTTTCCCTTTAAGGAATTTGCCTGAACTGACTTTGGCGAAGAACCAAATCCCACAAGCACTCGAATGCTTGGCAGCTTCTGGGAGGGGAGATACTTAGGTAATTCAGAATGCAGGTATCCTTTGTTCAAAGTAACCTCTGAATAAACTGCATTTTATCTTTCCAATTGTGACACTGGGAAACAACTTCTTTTTAACCTGATGTCTCCAACTTAAAGATCTTCAGGCTGGACCGCATCATGGTCTGGGTGTGAGACAGTAATGATTTCGTAGAGCGATCTATTTGTAGTAATATGTAGTGGCAACTGTTCATCCCTGGAGGTGAGTCTCATTTCAGGGCCTTTGAGTGCGGATGCAGAAAGACTCTGAGGTATGGGAGGAATCCTTAGCTAAGGTGTGGGCTCAACACAGTAACAGGGCGGTTTCCTGGTCAGCGTAGGGAGGCTGAACGACTCACCCGAAGGGTTAGCCCATGGCGCTCTAAATGCTCCAAGGCGAGCCACCGACCTTAGGCTGTTTTCACCAGAAGTTTTAATGTGCTTATGAAAGGTTTTCTTCTGAAGTATCAGACCTTAAATTTTAATCATGAAAACCTTTGGGATAAATACAATTTTCGGTCAGTGGTACCAGCTTTCTTCTGTGCCAGGAAGTAAGGGATCCCGGTAGTAGAATTTTCTTTCAAGTAGATCTTTAATTTAATAGCTTTTTAATTCAGGTTCAAAAGCAAGTACAGAAATGAATACAGTAGAAATAGTTAACCTGTATTTAAAATGGCAATTTTTAAAATACATTCAGTTATATGAATTGGAATGAAGTAATTTTATCAGAAAGAGAAACAATATTTTATTAGCTTATGCATTATAAATTTTTGGAATAAAAGGATGCCTAAAACAGACCCTGAATTAATAGGCATTCGTGAAAATACTGGTAGATAAAGGAATTTTCTTTTAAAATATTTAGTAAATCTGTCATTTTTTTATCTAATCTGGCCCCCCTCCCTCCTTCAATAGCCAAGGGACTTTGATGGACGACAGACCATTCTGCCTTTCTTTTTTCTGTGTGTAGTCTGAGTTCGTCGCTGCTTAGTGGGAAATGAATTCCCATCATGAAAAGCGGGAAAGAGAAAGGAGCACATAAAATTGAAATATATGTTCCTTCCATTAGGCCAGGGATGTGAGGCTTCCCACAGCTGGCCTCCAGTTTATCTTTCCTGGTTTTCTCTTGTCCCCTTTCCCACACTCCCTTCCAGGCACACTGAGCTGCCTGTTCTTCCCAGCTGTACCTACGCTTGTCTGCGGCGGCCCCTCCGCCTCGATGTTGCGCCTGCTCAGTCCACGTCCTTCTCGCCATTTCCTCTTCGTCAGTCAGTAGCCTTCCTGGTTTGTTCAAATGCTGCCCCTTCCCCGATCATACATCTGGTGACACTACCTTTGCTTTCTTTTCTGAACCATATTCTTAGCCCACGCCCTTCCAGCGGTCCTCTTATTTCTGCCTCCTGCTGGGACCCCCCTCTTTACGCACCAGGGGCTGACAGCGGCAGGCGCTTCGCTAAGTCACATCCCCAGCACCGGCGCCCAGGGCTGGCCACACCGTGGATCCTTCGTATCCATTGGACGAGTGTGGGCACAAAAACAGTTGGAATTAGCGATGAGCAAGATAAGAAAGAGTCACATTAGTTTACAGTGATACTTTGTTGGTTTTATGGAAACCATTATTACTTAGCTTAAAAATTCCTCATTTTCACAATAGTTGGATTTGAATAATTTTATTTTATAAATTAGTGCCCCCTTAATTTGCAAGGTTTTTCCACTTGTTCAGAAATCTGCAGAAGCCCTGACTGCTGGGGCTCAGTGCGCTGGGTGTGATCCTGCTAGCTGAAAGGCATCAGCTGGATTCCCGGGCAGGGCACACGCCGGGGTTGCGCGCCAGGTCCCCAGTTGTGGGCACGCATATAAGAGGCAACTGATCGATGTGCCTCTCATCAATGTTTTTCTCCCTTTCTTTCTCCCTCCCTTTCCCTCTCTCTAAATATATATGTCTGTGTATATATATATGTGTGTGTATGTTTAGATATGTATGTATGTGTATATATATACACACATAATATAAAATAAAAAGAAATCCACAGAACCTTTTTGAGCAGAGGCAACATTGTTAAATGAGCACCGTAGCTTCTGAGGGTGACCCCACCACTGCAGGGGGCAGGTGTTCTAAACCTGCTCTTTCTTTTGAAAACCTGCATTACTGTTTGGTCTGCTTGGTCTGCTTGGTCGGCATGTGTTGCAACTCCTATTCCCAGATTTGTCCATTGGCAACTCGGCGAGCCTTTGTTATGGAGAAGCTTATTGGCTTCTCAAAATGTGGAATGAGAAAATATGAGAAATATCAGGTCCTAAGTTTTCATAATCAAGATCAACCCTTTCCCACATAAAAATAATCTTATTAATTCAGAGTCAAATTTCCAAAGCCTGAATATCTCTCCACTACTGTCTTTAAAAATGACTGATAAAGTTTTAAAAGTAATTTGTATTGCTTATAAATAATTCTGAAAACACAGAGAAGTTAAAGGGGAGAGAAAAATGACTTAAATCAACCAAAGATAATGACTTTGGTTTTCGGATATTTCCTTACTGGGCCTTTATCACGCCTCCCAGTCCTCCTCAGTTTTAAATGTCATTATCATATATTTTCTAGTATCTTACTTAGTTTTCAATTCTAAGTATGCTCTCTATATTCATCCCAGTAGCTTCTTTTAGTCTTTTCATGTGTAGTTAAACTCACTCAGGTAGGGTACGTAGTGAGTACCCTACTCACCTGTGAACAGGGCCGGCTGATCCAATGGGTGATTGGCAGACCTAACTGCCAACAGAGCAATATTTTACTTGATTATTTACTTGTGTCTAAGTAGTAATAACCAAGTGGTAATGAGAAAGCAAATAAAGGGATGTTGTATGCTAGAAGGCCTTAGTCCCTTTTTTTGTTGACAGTTAGTTAAACATTGTATAGGAATAGTCTCTCCCCAGTAACAGAACTCCTGGGAAAGTTCCTGCCTGTTTTTCTTTTAATCCTCACCCAAGGATGTGTTTGTTGACTTTGGAAAGAGAGAGAGAGAAACATCGATGTGAGAGAGAAACATTGATTGCTTGTCTCCAGTACACGCCCTGGCCAGGGATCGAACCCACAACCTACATATGTACCCTGACCAGGAATGGAACCAACAACCTTTTGGTGTAAGGGACGATGCTCCAACCAATTGAGCCACCTGGCTAGGGATGTTCCCGCTTTTTTGATTCCATAGCCTTTCCTCTCTCCACTATTTCATTGCTGGACCCAAAATGGAAGCGCTCAGTAAATGGTTATTGATGGGCTGGACTGTCCCCAAAGTGCCACATTTTGTGGCATTTGTTGCCAATTCACTATCCTTACTGAAAGGCACCTTAAATAGCCAATGTTATTTCTACAAGTTTTATTTTAGGCCAATAATGTCATATTAGATCAAAAGGTACTTGATGTTGTGTTTAGTAAGTAAGTCCTCCATGTTCCTGCCATAGCTTTATATGTGAAAAGTCGTCTAAAGGTGTGTGCAGAAATGGAAAGAGAAGATATAAGTAATGTCTAAGTCTTTAAACTGTTGGAAAATATCAGTGGCAATGTAAATGTTCAATACTTTGTAGCTATAGTAGAAAGTAATTATTGTTTTGTAACTGGAAGTTAACCAGAAAGTAACTTTTATTTTTTAAGGTCTTGAGGGATTCAGTAAATATCCTCATGACATATTAAAGTCAGTGTGCTGGCTGATTTGAGTATTTTAAAGCAGTAAATACTCAAAACTAATTAATTTGCGATAAACCCTGACTAATTTTTATGTGCGGTCTTAAAATAATCTCCACCTTATCAATCATGTAGCACTATGTTAAAAACACTTTGCACAAATTTATTTTTCTGGTGAAAGAGTAAAGCCTTATATTCCTTGTGAGGCTTTTCCAGACCTTAAATCAGCTACCACCTCCGCAGTAGTATTCTCACAGCACCTGGCTGTGACTTAGAGCCCTAAGTCTGGCCCCTGCTTCAGGAAGCGTTCCTGTTATGTAGTGCTAGAGACTTACCTCGCTGTTCATATATTAGAATCCCCTTAAAAGTAAATGCACGCCGTGTAGCAGTTTCACTGCTATTTTGGAAGCGTGGTCTTGGTTTCCATTGGTAAAGTCGACCCCCGTTCAGTGTTGGCAGGCTCCCTCTCCCCTCTGTCATTGGGGGGAGCTTTAGACCTGCGGTGGAACCCGGTGGGTGAGGGGTTCCGCGCAGAGCGTGGGTGGATTGGCCCCTCCTCTGCGCGTGCACCTGTACGAATATACAGCCTTTTAATGACGTCTCTTTCAGATTCATTCCTGAATCACCTCGTTGGTTATACTCCCAGGGTCGCCTGAGCGAGGCGGAAGCCGCTCTGTACCTCATTGCCAAGAGGAACCGCAAGCTCAAGTGCACGTTCTCCCTGACGCCGCCGGCCAACAGGAGCTGCAAGGACACGGGAAGTTTCCTGGACCTGTTCCGGTACCGGCTGCTCTTGGGGCGCACTCTCACCCTGATGTCTATCTGGTAATTAGATCTACGGGGTGTTTTGTTGATCTCGGCTCCTGTTGCTAAAGCTATTGGTAGTTTGTTCATTCTTCAGGGTGACAGAAAATGTTACCTCTTGTCAGCGTGAAGTTATTCTCACAGAAAGAAGCCTGCACCCCGCATCCCTTCACCCTTCCCCCCCCCCCCCTACCCCGTGCCTGACCTGGCCGACTGTTCCCACACGCTCCCTGTTAAGGAGGAAGTCAAAGCCCCTAAAGGCAGATTTACCGAACTTGACATCAGAAACACACGTTTGCTCCTGAGGTATTTTATGTAAATATTTGTCACCCTGCAAAAAAAAAAAAAAAAAAAAAAGGCAAGCAGAGCAGAAACAGAGGAGTCTCTAAGTTGGCGTTACACATGCCTGCCTTTGAATTTGGCATCAAGCAGTGGGGTAGCACATTGACGCTGGGCTGCATGTTGTGGGGCATCCCCACCACTCCCTGGGGTGGCCTGTCACTGTCCCCTGGAAAAATGGGATCCTGGGAGTGTGAAGGGACCGGACTCAACACCACATACGCCGATCAGCAAATGATTGGATTAGCACTCCCTGAACCTGGTTTTCAAGTTGAGTTTATCCCAACCAGCCTCTCAAAAAGTGCTCTAAGCACTAATGTCTACTGCATTGAATGGTTCTGTTTAGAGAATGAAGTTGTGGAACGGGGAGAAATGGGTGTTCGCTTACAATTTGTGAGGTGCACGTGTGTATTAATATTGTGCATTCTGCCTGGGGGCCATAGGTGTTGTCCAGTCCCGTGTTGGGCGTGAACGTTCGATTTACTGGCCTAAAGCACTGTTGTGCTGTGGTTTGTATGTACTTACTGTGACTGCAGTGGAAACCTACATTTTCACGTGGGGATAAAGGGGGGTGATTTTATATGAAAGTGATCTTATGTCTGAAGCTAAAAAGAATAGTAGATTGAGAATAAGAAGTTGTGGAGATATTTTTCTATATTGTGATTCTCTTTGCTGATTCCACCAAGCACTGGCCGTCATCTGTGTGGTCAGGGGCCAGGTCGCCCGGACGACCACCTGCCCCGCTGTCCCCCTGCCGCCCGGGCCAGCACAGTGCTGGAGCATCACAGACGCACGGTACATACAGAATGAAGGACATGAGTTTGGAGGCATGGAGATTAGCAGAACCTTTAAAAGCAGAACCTGGCCACCCAGCACAGGAGCTACTACTAATCTGAGATCCTACCTATTGTATAGTAAATATTATGAAGTATGAACAGGCACCTTTGGCTTCCTAAAACTATACATTTGTGTGTTCAATAGACAAACCCTCTGTCTTACTTCTTGGGGAATATTTACTCTTTGCTTTTAAGTTTTATATTTTTTTGAGACATATCAATTTTTGGGTTCTGGCCTTTAGGGGATTAAAATAAAACAGGTGAACCAACCAACCAACCAACCAACCAACTCGACTTAGAGCCAGGGAGAACGTCCCTGCTTATTTTATATCCTACACAACTGAAGAACTGTTCTCAAATAAAATCCTTTCCCCCTGGGCTTAGAATTTTAAAATACTCGATAATAGAGACAATGTCATTTTACATACTGCTGTTCCCCATGAAGAGGCTATAACATTCTAAAATCTTTTCTGTGGATCTGCCATCAAAGAAAGTCTTAACTAGAGAGTAAAATTATACCTCTGTGTTCAACATCTGTCCCTGTGCTTATTTCCTACAGGAGTGCCTTTTTAAATTGTTGTTTGGCACCATAAATATTCTGTTAAATATAAGGCAAGCATTTTAAATGTTGTTTGGGGCCTATAGAAAGGATTGAGATGATTTTAATTGCTGTAGTCGCTCATCTCAGCGACGAGTTCTGCCTTCAAGGAAACATGCAAGCCGAGTCCCCGCCTTGGGACCCGAGGCCTCCCTTGCCCATGTCCTCCCTCCTCTCTCGCCACCAGCTGGTGACTCAGCTCCTCTAGCTTCCTGAACTGGCAGGGCTTATACATGCCCTGGTTGCTGCCTTCACAGCTCGGTTTAAACAGGTCTGTGTGCTCCCATGGAACCCCTTCCCTGGGATTTCTATTTCATCTCAGAGCAGACACGCTGAAGCCTGTAAAGCATTAGGAACAGCATCATGTGAGAGCAGGCTCCCTACTGCCGGTAGAAAGGAGTTTTAAAATATTTTAGCAAACTGCCTGAGTCTGAATTTGTTTACAATAGGTAGGATGGCAAATGAGTAGCTCCTATGCTGTGTTGTCAGGTTTAGCTTTTGAAGGTTCCCCTAGTCTCCACACCTCCCTGCTGCGTCCTTTGTTCAGGCAAAGTTCTAGGGGTACGTGGAACACAGGCACTCGGTGGCACCATGTATCCTTATGTGTGATGTCCTGGCTACCACACTGCTCCTTGTCTTTCATATATGAGGGGCCGCTCCCCGCAGTAAGAAGTGAGGGGAAGTAGTTGCGGCCCAGCTCAGAGGCCCGGGAGGTGTGAGCACTAAGCGGTCCAGCTCCAGGGCCCCCTCTCCCCTCCTCCCCGCCCTCTCCGTGGTCGCTGCGTGGTCACTGTGGCCCATTGGTAGCCCCGGCACTCGGACTGCTGTTTTGGCAGAGATGGAAGGGAAGCTTTCCCTTTCCTCTTTGATCTCAGGACAGCCACAGCCCATTAGATGTTTTATAAGGAAAACCAGAAGGAAGCCAGTGAGAACTTCCCCATAAAAAACACTTGTCAGAGTGATTTGCAAAAACATAAAAACTGGTGAACTTCCAAAGCCCAGACGTTTCACCATCTGTGTAGAAATGCATGGTTTACAAAGTGTATTCATATACTAATAAAGCCTAGTTGCAGGTTTATTTGTTTCTGGTTCTGTTCTATTTTGTTTCGCTTTAATAATGCAGTTTCCTAGACCCCTAAGTTGCTATTACTCTCTTCGCTGTGGTTGAGGAAGCCCCAGCTTGCAGCTTCAGGACGGCACTTTGGCTTAGCTCCTGGGCTCCTTAGTGCCCGGGAAGGGCAGGAGGCTCAGTGCCAGGGACGGTGCCTGCCACTAGGAGGCGCTCCTGGAGTGTTCCAGCCAGCCAGGGCGGGCAGGAATGAATGGCTTTTCAAAGGGCTCCTCCTCCGGATATCCTGGAGAATCCTGCCTCCACCCTGACGTGGCTTTTCTTTCCTGCGCTGGGCATCTGCAGTGTGGCCACCTGCTGAGGGCTGCTGGATGGGGCCAAGAGCCGCGTGGGGTTGAGTGCCAGGCATTTCTGGCCTGCAGGTGACCCACCGATGACCCAGTCACTTCTCAGCTCCTGTTCTCAACGCCATCCTCTGTTGGCTTTCTAGAGTCTTTTTGATAATCTCCCAACTGTTGCCTAAGGCAAAGGTTCTATAAATTGTATTAAATAAAGTAAGGATGGAGTTACTGTCTTCTATTAAATGCAGAAATACTTGATGAAATCACAAACAATATTTTTTCCCCCTTCTTTCAGGAGCTGGCTACTTATTTGCTTCATCTAGCATCTAGACAAATGATTTCCAAGTTCCCCTTTATTTATTTATTTATTTATTTATTTATTCTCCTAGTTTAGAAATTCAGATTAGGATAGAAATGTTAGTGGGAGGGTCAAACCTCTTGCTTGAAACAAATCACATCGTATTGAACCAGCATTTGAATTTCCTGTGGCAAATTCTTATGTGCTTTTTCTGTTGTCGTTTTGTCTTTTACCCCTATTGCAGGTTTGTGTGCAGCTTGGTGTATTATGGCCTAACTCTGAGTGCAGGTGACCTAGGTGGAAACATTTATGCCAACCTGGCCCTGTCCGGCCTCGTAGAGATTCCATCTTACCCTCTCTGCATCTACTTGATTAACCAGAAATGGTGAGTGTAGATGGATATTGAAGTGTACCATACACACACACTCTCGTATGTGTAAATACCTAAATATTTGTCCATCTATAGTATCTGCTAATTAATCCACAGTGGTCAGAATTCTTTTCAGACCAAACGCAGTAAGAATTCATGTTTAGTATGGTATTTCTAGAATTTCACATTTACGAGTGTTTATGTAGGTTTGCAACCCAGTATTAAAAGACATTATTACGTGAAGGATTTTGAGTCATCTGTGCACAATTTGTTAGTCTTAGCAAGTGAGATTACTGGCTCTATGTAGATAGAATTATAAAACCCCATCAACCCAATCACTGCTATTTAGAAATTCAGGACAAAGAGCTGGAGGGACTAGAAAGATGTTTCTTACCTCTTGAGACCCACATGACTCTGTTGAGGGGAAGAATATGCCCTGTTTTGCTATTCATTGTTAATGGACACTGCTTTGAAATACTTTTTAAAGGTTCTCTAATAGAACGCCCTTTCCTCTGTTTCCTCACACCCTTTTGTGACTGAGCCCCTCACGGAGGCAAGTACAAATCCCGTGGGTGTGAGCCAGGAGTCAGTTGGACTGTGCCATTTCTTGAGTAAGAAAATATAGAAGTCATCGTTTTAGCCCAAAACAGCATTCCTTCAGCATTGCACTTGAGGCCGTGGTCATGGGTATGAAGCCTAGCACATTCGGAAGGGTCGGTTTGGATTCTGTTCAGCTGAAGGCTTTTCTCCAGGTGGCGGTCCCCTGCTGACCCCCCTGTTAGTGACAAAGCTGATTCTCATCATGGTCAAAGAGCTGGGTTGGGCAGCATATTCAGAAATCTGTCCCTGACATCCCCAGTGTGCCAGACACCCCGCTTTGTGCTGTTACAACTTCCTGTGCACCCCTCTGGCGACCACCAACAGGGTTACACGGATGTGGTCTGTCCTTGAGCGCATCCTACGTGACTTTGCATCCCTAGCGCTTGCCTCGCCTGCGACCTGTCACTTGCAAGGCATTTGGTACTGACTGCTAACCTAGGCAAAATGACGTGGAGACGCAAGTCCTTTGCTGTCGCCCAGCTGCTACCACCAGAGCCAGGATTACAGTCTGAAACAGACGGAAGGAATGCGGCCTTCAGCGTCAGGCAGGCCTGAATTCAAATCCAGCCTCAGCCGCGGGCTTGGCCTTATGACTTTGACAAGCTACCTCCCTAAACCTCCAAGTACTCACCTTAAACTAGGGACTATAAAATGCCCCTGGCAAAGTTGTCATAAAAATTACAAGAAACATTGAAGCTCCTAAGAGAGGGCCTAGCTAGTGGTAGCCCCCTGGAAAAGGGAGGCCTGCGAATGTTAACACCTTCCTCCCAAGTCTAGAGCGCTGATTTGAAAACTGCTTCTTCCAATGAAGTGTGCAATATATTTCACTTAATTCTGCCCTACTAACAAGAAAATGTTTGTATTTTTCAAGAGAGAGAAAGGATGGTGTTTAAAATTTTAACTGCTTAAAATTCAAGTAACCAGAAGTTGAAATGAGCTATAAGACTCCATTTTTCATGTCTTAATTCCATTCTCTGGGAAATGGGGAATATAACAGTACAAGCCTTATGGTGTGGCATTAGGATTGAGTAAGAAAATAGATAGAAAGCATTTAAAACAGTGCCTGGACCGTAGTAAATATAGGAATAAATAGAATGATTTTCTTCCCTGCACACATTATTTACTCCTGTCGCCCAGCAAGTTTTCCTTTGTTTTATGACCGTTATTTATTTTATGTCCTGGGCGGTCACATTTGCTGCCCGCTCCTTAAGAAAAGATGAACGTGTACAATGAAACTGAGGACATTTAAACAGGAAGCCTGGGGGGGAGGAAGCAGACGAATTTGTAAGATTCTCAAGAGAAATGTGTGTCATTTCTTCCTATTGTTTAGGTTTGGTCGGAAGCGAACGTTAGCAGCATTTCTGTGCCTAGGAGGACTGGCTTGTCTTATTGTCATGTTTCTTCCAGAAAAGAAAGGTATGCCTTTCGAATTCCTGCCTACAGTTTTGAACAGCACTTTTATCACAATGAATCTCAATATTGTAGAGAGATTACCATATGCCAGGCTTCACTTCTGTGATTGCATATTATTTAGCAATTGTGTAGGGGTATAATGGGCCAGATTCTCCCCATTGCCTAAACTGTTCTCTGGGTGAATAATGTGCTTAGAGGTGCACTATTAATTCTTTCAGGCGATTAAGCTACCATCTGGGGCGTCTGGGCCGCAGCACTGGTTATTTCATGATGAGGAGGACCATTTAGTTGTGCACAGAAAGGGGCTCTGTCCAGGGCTGTAGATCATACTGTCATTCCAGCCAACCACGAGCTGGGACATCAGGGTCACTGGCTGTCAGGGGTGGCCTTGGCACCTTTCAGTGTCTCCATCCGTACTCCCTATGATAATAGCGGCAACAAAAAGAATATTCACTGTTGGTGACTGTTGACATTTTCTCAGTCTCAGATAAAGTATGAGTAGAACATTTTCAGAACACTTTGGTATTTTTATATAGTTATAGATTTGCTATGCAAACACAGCTTCAGAAAGGTCCCTTTTAAGTGTCTTATTTCACCTTATCTGCCCCTGTGTAGTGTGTAGCAAGTGCTGGTTTTCACCTGTTTCTTGGACTAGCACACGTGTGGCATCCCAGCTCTCGATGCTTCGGGAACCGTGGCTTTGGCAGTGATTTTCAACAGTGAGCAGGGGGTCGAGCAGACTCTGCTGCTGGAGCACACGGTTCAACAAAAGCCCTGCTTGGAGAGCTTTTCGATTTTGATGGAGCTCCATCCGGGAGACTGTACTTCACGAGGGAATTATTGTGAGAAGGTCGAACATCAAGTTTGGCTCCCTGTCAGAGCACATTGCGTAACGATGCTTCTTTGATGGTTGCATCTCCATGAGGTTCAGTTGTGCCAGGGTCTCGCCAAAGACTCCAGGGCCACGGCTTCGGGTTCTGTTCCCCTCCAGGACACCTGCCGTGCTGTCTGTTGCTGCCTGAAGTTCTAGACCGTGAGTCCAGAGTGCAGTTTGTGGACGAGTTAGGATTTTACCCAGTAAGACAGTCTTATAGTGATTTTCAGGAAATCATGGGAACTAGAGAATTCAGTACATTTGGTTGTTTCTTATTCTCTAAGCAAATTGTTGCCTCTGCTTGTGCCAGCAGAGGAGAGACTCCTCAGCGGCCGCCCCGCTGTGGGCTCACAGGGCTAAGTGCCCAGTTCTGTCTGTCTGGGACAACATAGTAATGGGCTTCAGACCACTGTAGCTTTAGGTTCAGCAGATTTTGCTATTTAGAGACAACTTGGAAATTCAAGTTGCTTATGCTTTTTAACCTGTCGCAACCCAGTGTTCTGCTTGTCATCTTACAGGGAAAATCTTTTCATTGCTACTGTAAGCGAACCTGTGACCTGTCACACCCCTGCACAGGCCACGCCAGTCTGTGCCTTTCCTTGCTCCCACACATGTGCAGCCCCAGGAACCGCGGCGCTAGCACCCTGCATGTGGCCCTTTCTACAAAATCCCAAAGCCAAGCAGATCTGACCGTCCTCACTCCGCTTGCTTCCCGTCTGTTTCCAGAGAGCAGCTCGCACCCCCGGTCGATCGTGCCCCTTGGTGGACACACGGCCTCGCAGCGTGGAACAGGCACCGCAGAGCGTCCCTCACACTGCACGCTGTGCCGTGGGAGCGCGGTGCCTCTGCTTTGCTTGGAGAAGTGGGCGTTTAATCTGCTTTTGGAGATTTCTAGGGAAAGAAGTTCCATCATGTCCCTTAGCAAATTGTTTCTATTTTTGAAAAACATTAGAATGTTAGAATGATCCTCTTCCACTACAACTGAGCTCATTTCCTTTCATTTTATTCATCAGTAGAGACAGAGAACAGATGGTCACCCCCCCCCCTTTTTTGCGTATTCCTTTCTATACTTGTAGGAGTTGTCTGGCAATTTCTGAATCTTCTTTTCTTTGACCTCAAAAATATTTGTTCTTTAAACATTCTTTGAGTCGTTCATACTTACCCATTAAAATATTTTGATGGCTTTCTTTGGAATCTCATTTTAAAAAGTTCTGAGCTTTAACTTCATGTTATGAAAGTTCTGATAAATACCTATGAAGAAAGAAAAATTCTATTCGCGTCTCGTGCGAGCTTGGTGATCACTCATTTTCTCCCAGCTTTTTCGGCTCATTTTTTCTTCACTTTTCCTGCTACCAAACATGCACTCATTCTCTTCTTTCTGCCAACTTGGGTGCTCCTTTTCCTACCAGCTTTTTAAAAGTATCTCTATATGACTGGTTATCTGCATCTGAGACACAGACCTAGAGCTAGAACTCTGAAAGGGACAGCCAGACAGCTAGAAAATAAATTATTTGGCATTTCTCAGCCTGTAGTTTATAATTTTTAGACTAAGTTGCCTGTCCCCTTCATATTTGCACCTTGAGGACAGTTACCAGGTAGCCGCTAATCTTTCCCCCCAAACTGATCTTCATGCATTTTACCTGATCTCTATCCTTGCTTGAAGGATTCTAAGTTTACAATACTGGCTATTATTTACTAAGCATCTTAATAAAGACAAAGGAACTAACTGTGTTCTGGATCCTCTCCATATGCAGGAGATATTACATATCCCCACTTTATAAGGAAACTAAAGCTCCAATAGGTCAAACAACTTGTCTCAGGTCACACAGCAAGTAAGTAGCACATCTGGGATTCAGATTTCAGTATTTATTAAAAATGGGGAAGCTGTTGCTTTAGAGACTTAACACAGCCCGATTAGGGCCAGTTCTTAATTCTTCAGTGGGTGCTGCTGGAAATGGGAATTCAGTGGAAATTGGCCAGGCATGGGGGCAAGGAGGTTGGCAGGGTGGTTTCTGGCACTTTGGGTCCTGTAAGAGAATCTGAATGCTAGGAAGTCACAGCAGGTGATAAACTAGATAAACACAGTTCATGGTTGAAGGGACTCAGCTCTAGTGGAACCTTTATATTTCATTTATTTTCTTGACCTTGGTCTGCCCAGTCTTTATCATTTGACCTCTCTAGGACCTGCTATATTCAGGATTCTATTTATAAACAAGACCTACTTCCTAAAACTCGTATGAGCTTACAATCTAGTGAGGAAAAAGAGTGATTTAAAAAAAAAAAAAGAAAAGAAAAAGACAGGTGATACCATAGGAGAATTGACAACAGAATAAATGATGGGAACTTGAACTTCACACCATGATAGTAATTTCAACCAGCTCTCCTCCCATTCTAAAAAACTGTAAAACCGGAAAACATAAGAAACGCTGATTTTCAGACATTGAACCACAGGCTGCACGGGACAGACACTGAGCCCCGAGAAAGGGGGCAACAGGCAAAGCGTGCCCTAGTGTGCCCTCACGCAGGGTCTCCAAGCCACAGTACGTGGAGGGTGCCCACCAGTGCTGCTGCTCTCACTGAATTGGAGAGACAGATACGGAAGTTTGGGAAGGCTGCGGCAGCTAGAATTTGCTGCGTAAAATACTGGCTGGAGAGCTGTAACATACACAGAGGAAGAATCCAGAGATCTGCGGAGGGGCCTTGAGTCCTTGGCTGCTTAGTGCTCTGTGCATGCATTTGAGGAAACTTCTGCAGACCACCAAAAAGACACAGGGGAGTGATTTCTGGAACCTAGGGCCATGCGTGGTGTGTATTCTCTTCAGTTAGACGTGGAACCCCGGGTGGAGACCCCCTGGGTTAAAGTGCCCTTACACGAAATGCTGCTTGTTCTCTGCTTGCCCTGCAGTGCTTAAAAAAGTACTCGGAAGGATCAAGCGATTCCAAATAACATAACTGCATCCCAGGTAAAGAGCAACAATATTTAAAGGAATATTATCGTTAATAACCCAGTCCCTAACAACATACCATTCACAGCATATGGCACCCAGTCAATATACAGACAAGAAAATACCTCCCACAACTAGGAGAAATATCAATTGAAAACAAAACCCAGAATAACACAGATGATAGAATGAGGAGACAATGGTATTAAAACAGCTATTATCAGCATACTCCCTGTGTTTAAGAAGGTGGAGGAAAGCATGATCATAATGAACAGAGAAGTGGAAAGTACAGAAAAGACACACATGTAACATGTAGAAATGAAATATGCATTGTATGAAAAAACTACAGAAAAAAAGATCAGTGAGAAAACACAAAAGATATTCCAGAGCGAAACAAAAAAAGTTGTAGGACAATACGAAGTCTGCCACGTGTGTCATTGAAGCCTAAGAAGGAGTAAAGAAAAGATATTTGCAGGAATGATAGTTAAATACTTTCCAAACTTTTAAAAAGATTTTATTTATTTATGTGTAGCGGGGGAAGGGAGGGAGAGAAATGTCGATGTGAGAGAGAAACATCAATAGGTTGCCTCTCATATGCGCCTCGACTGGCGACTGAACCTGCAACCCAGGCATGTGTCCACTGGGAATCAAACTGGTGATGTTTCACTTTGCAGACAACACCTAACCAACTGAGCCACACCGGTCATGGTGTACTTTCCAGACTGGATGAAAACTATAAACACATGATGAGAAAGTGGTTAGTTCATCAAGAAGATGTAATAATCCTATGTGTGTATGCATCTCATGACAGATTCAAAGTGCATGGATACTCTGAATGGATAAAACTGAAAGGAAAAAAAGACAAATCCAAAATTATAGTTGGATATTTCAGTATCCCTCTCTCAATGACTGAAAGGAAAAAGTAGACAAAATAATTAGGGATATGGGAACTTGAATAGCCAACAGGACCTAACTAACATTTGTTGAATACTCTACCCTACAACAGAATGTGCATTCTTTTTGAAGCATACATAGAATATTTACCAAGAGAGACCATATTCTGGGATATAAAACAAGTTTCCATAAAGTTAAAAGGATTAAAACCTTACAAAAATAAGTCCTTTGACTAGAATGGAATTAAACTAGAAACCAATAACAGAAAGATATCTGGGAAATCCTCAGATATA